TGGTGACACTAAGAGGGTGTGGGGTCTTCTTCCTACACAGAACTCATGGCTTTGGTTTCTGGAGAAACAAACAGCTCCACTCCAGACCTCACCCTGCTTCCCCTCTTCCCTCCTGTGTGGAACTCTGCCCCATCCACTCTTACCCCCTCTCCCCTCTAGGCTCCTGGTCTTCTTCATCTCAGACACCTGATCCCTCTTTCTTTTCACATCAACTCCCTTCAAGGAGCTGCTATACATGTGATTTTTGACTGGTCTCCAAACAAGCAGCAGAGATTTGCTTAGGGGGCCGGGGAAAGGGGTCATGGGTTATGGCCATCAGACCACACTCCCCTACCCCTCCCTGGCACAGAGCCTCTGGCCCTTGGCCCTGAGCCTGGACGGCACCTCCAGAGGCTGCACAGGGCTTTCAACCTCAGCAGTGCCCCCAAGTTGAACTCATCTACCCCCTGCTTCTTCCCCACCTTCCTTTTTTTTTTTAAGTTTATTTATTTATTTTGAGAGAGAAAGAAAGCACAAGTAGGGGAGGGACAGAGAGAGAGAGAAGAGAGAGAAGAATCCCAAGCAGGCTCTGCACAGCCTAACATGGGGCTCAACTTCACGAACTGTGAGATCATGACCTGAGCTGAAGTCGGTTGCTCAACCCACTGAGCCACCCAGGTGCCCCCACCCCCTCATCAGCTTCCCTTTGTAGAGGGTGTGGGGAAGGGAAAATGATCACTCCATTTTCCCAGCAAGCCAGATGCACAAGTCAGGGATGCCTTGGGTTTCACCCTCAGTCTCTCCCCATTTTGACCTGAATTCCAACTGGATCCTGGGTCCATCCGCACCACATCCTGCATTCTTCCCTACTCTCCCACTCCCTGTCTTCAGTCAGCCCCTCCCCCACCTCTGGGCTCTCTTGTCTGACCCTCAAAGGCTGCCGAGCCAAGCAGTGCTGCCCCCACCCCAGGAAGATGTGGTTACAGTGAAGTGCCCCTGGGACTTCGGGGAGAAGGACGGTCCTTCAAGGAGCTGCCTTCACCTGACGTCATCTGATAGGAAATACATGGTGGGTAAGGGTCAAGCCCCTTGGCACGCGGCTGGTCACCTCTTCCAGAACTCAGTCATATTTCTGCACCGTTCTACCTTACTAGGAAGGAAGCTCTCTTTCTCAATTTCCTTGAAAGACATTCCCTTATCAGCACGCCGACCTCCTGCAATTGAGTTCCAGGCTGCAAACAGTGAGTAAACAACCAAGCTGCTCCTGCTTTGATGCCCCCAGGAAATGTCACAACTCACTTGGTTCTGTGAGCAGGCCAGCCACAGCTGACCTTTGCCCATGGCAGCCTGCCAGGGTGTCCCTGTCCCACCCCTCCTGGCCCCCGCCTATGTGTGCCTGGCCAGCAGCAAGGCCAAGTCAGATGCCCTTCTACTGTGAAGCCTTCCTGGACTCCATGATAAGGTAGCACCAGACAGAGCGATGGTCCATCTATGAGTCCTTGATGGTAGAGGGCAATCTGAGAGCAGGTGCTCAGCAGGTGTCTGATGATGAAGTGGGTCCTGGCTGGCCTGACCCCACTGCTAAATGTGGATGGGAATCAATGCTGTTTTTAGGGAGAAACTTCTCTGTGCAGGGTTGACACATGTGGCCCCATTATATTCTCACAATGACCCCGAGTAGGAGCCGTGGTCTCATTCTTCAGATGAGACCCTGAGGCTCAGAGAAGTTAGCTTCCCTAACATCACCTTCCACTGGTTTAGGGCCCTCTCCATGTGCCCCTCATCTCCCTGGGGTGGGGGGGTGCTTTGAGCAGCCTCCTTAAGTTCTAGTCCCCTTGGCTCAGGCTGTGCTCTCCTCAAATGCAGGGAGCACATCTCTTATCTCCTTCTTAGAACCTCGTGGTCCTTAGCCAGCAGGAGTGAGGCTTGGCTGATGTGCCCAGCTGAGCTGTACCAGGAGGGGCTGAGGGCCTGTCTCAAGATTTCTTAGCTATGTTCCTGCCAAGTCCATAGCTCAAGGGGCCAAGTTACATGGCAGATGTGGAGAAAGGTGGGTTGAGGTGTCATTGAGAAGTGGTGGTTTGTGTGGCCAGGACTGGGGAGCACAAGGAGGAGATCTCACTCAGGCCTAGGAGCTTCTAGGAGCTTCTTGGAGGAGGGTCACTTCATGCAGGTCCTAAAAATGATGAGTTGGATTTCTCAGGCCAAGAAAGGAAGGGTGGTATTTGAGGTGGAGGAAAAAGCTCATGCAAAGACCAGGGCATGAGGATACCCTGCCAACTAGCACTGGGTGCACACGGCTAACACATCCTGAGCACCTGTGGACAAGAGAGAGGGCAGGGGGTCTGGGCAGAGGTGCCTGGGCTCTCGCCTGTAGTTGGGGCAATCACTCAAGGATTTTAGAGGGCGGAGTGAAATAATTATTTTTGCCTTTATAGAAAGAGCCTCCAAAAAACTGTATGTGTGCTTGAGAATGAACTTCCAATTGCTGTGAGGGATGGGTCCTGGGGAAGCAGGTAGAAGGATGTTCCTGAATATCCAAGGGGAGATGACAGAGCTGGGAGGGAAGGAGATGCACTCTGACACCCCAGACATGTGACCCCACGTGCAACTAAGTGGAGCATGAGGCCAAGGGAGGCACTGAGGCCAGTAGTTTCAACACTGACTGCCAGCTGGATCCCCCTGGGAGCTTTTAAAATATGGGCAGAAGTGGGCTACAGGTGCTGGTCTAACAGCCCGGGCAGGGCAGGCTGGGCCGAGGCAGCGTGGGATATAATAATAAACATATATCTAGGGTGCTGTTAGCCATGACGGGGACACGTGAGAGAAGAAAGGTGTGTGTGTGTGTGTGTGTGTGTGTGTGTGTGTGTGTGTGTGTGTGGCAGAGGGAAAGAGAGAGAGAGAGAGAGGCAGAGGCAGAGGCAGAAGCAGGCAGGCAGAGAGAGTGAGAGAGAGACAGAGACAGAAAGACAGAGACAGAGAAAGAAAGAGAGGATGAGAGAGAGAGAGAAGTGAGGGCCCATGAGGTGATAACAAAGGCCCCTGACAGGCCAGTGGGATCAGACCCAATTCATTTCGACAGAGTTTACTGAGCACCTATTCTGTGGCAGCTGCTGTGCTAGGCTCTGGAGGTACAAAGATGACAGTCCATTCTGGGAACACTGAGCAGACATAAGAAAGGCACAGCCTGGCTTTCACTCCACCATCCATCCACCCACTCACCACCCATCCATCCACCATCCACTGTCCACATATTCCTCCATCATCCGCCCTTCCTCCCTCCCTCCTTCCCTCTTTCCATCCACCCCTCCACCCACCATTCATCCATCCGTCCATCCCTCTACTATCCATCCACCCACCATCCCTCCGCCATCCCTACCTTCACCATCACTAAGCAGAGGTGGCATGATTCCCCAAAGCAGGATCTTCTCTGACCTGGCTGTCTCTCCATAATTATCATTTTCTCTGTAAACTGCCCCTCTCAGAAGGGGTTTCTGCCCTGCTTGCACCATCCTGGTCAGGGCTCTCTCTACCAGAGCCACATGCCTTTGGGGATCCCTGGGTGGGAAATGAGATGTTTAATTGCCCCGATGTTTCTAGGGAGCCAGGTGTTGGGTTACTGCATTACTAATCCAGATGTTTGGTTTTGATTTTTCTCTCCAGCTGATCCCAGTTGTAGCAGGGGAAAAGTCCCCAGCTTTGGATCCAAAGAGATCTGAATCCAAACTCAGGCTTGGGCGATTTCTTTCTGAATGACCTTAGGCAAATTTCTTGACCTGGTCCCAGGTGATTTACCTGGAAATATTCAAGAACAGTATCTACCTCCCAGGGTGGCTGTGAAAGTCAAAATAGATGATTCTAGTAGAAAATGCCCACACCTATGTGCGTGGCCCTTGGCAGAGGCTTGATAAGTATTGGGCCCCTACTACTTGCTCTCTCTCAGGCGGCCTGAAGGAAACCAATGCATACGGCCTTGCCAATGTGAGGAGATTCCCTATGGAGGCTAATTGTGAGGCTGTGTGTGCGTGTGTATAGAGTTCTTCCAAAATGTCCAGAGGAGGAAGTCCTTGGCAAAGGCCTGAGTATGTGGTCTTTTGTGCTTTCCTTTCAGAAGTCTGACCAGAAGGTGCCCTTCTCAAGGGGAGCAGCTAGGCTCCCACTGAGCAAATGTGGTCCCAGGATATGGCTACCTGAGGCCAGGGCCTCGCCCCGGGAGACAGTCATCCTGGCTGTGGGGTTGGCCTGGCACCAAGAGGTGCTGAAGCTCCACAGGGCGTTCTAAGATGCATCAGGTGGCAGAGCCATGGATGTAGAGTTTTCTAGATTTGTATGATTGTGGGAACTCCCCAGAGTGTCAAAGTACAGATTCAAAGGCTCCTCCCCTAGCCCTGGGATGGGGCTAGGGCTCCCTATTTTTAACAAGCACCCAAGAGGTTTCAGGGTTCAGCACGCTTTACAAGCCCTGCAGTAATTCAGTTGCAAAGAAGGAACACAGAACATGAATCTCTGCCATTCATTAGCAGGGGCCGTTGGATAAGGTACGTGACTTCCTTGTTCCTCAGATTCTTCAACTGCAAAGTGGGGATAATTGTGCCTCCCTCATGGGGTTGTTGTGATAGACAACCCAGGGATGGGTGTCAGCAATCAGCACAGGTGTGGTGGCCACTGTTACTGCGGAGCCCAGCTATCCAGGGGACAACGTGAACCCTTTCCAACCTTGAACCGGCTATGGGGGGATGAGATGTGGGTGTGGATGGGCACTCCAGGTAAAGACCTCTACCTTGGGCTGACAACAGAGCTACATTTGGTGTCTGGAGCCATCCAGGTTATAACTGTTTAGATATAGGCTGCCCTGTGGTTGCACATTGGAGATCCACTGTGGCCAAAATACAATCAAGTGATTTGGGAAGACCAGCTGAGCTGCTCCCCAGCCCAAAGCTCCACTGAAAGGAGTGAGGGTTCCACCCACAGCCCCGGCCCCTGAAGGGGCTTCCAGCATCCTTAGGTTCTTGGAAACTCACGCTTTGGAGTAGTTCAGAACGAAATCCACACCCTTCTCACTATCAAACTGGATGTCTCGGGGTAAATCCTTGTGGTATTTGGCATCAATACTCAAAGGGAAGCCAGGGTTCCACTCCATCCATCTGAGCATGAATAAAAAGAAGAAAGCTGTGTTAAGTGCCTGGCTTTTGGGTTGGCCCCTCAGATTAAAGGCTGTCTCTGTGGTCTGAGGATGTGCCCTCCATCAGGCCAATAAGATGACTATGCATCCCGTGATGAACTGGGACCCCTCCCGGGGTCTGGCGGGAGCCCGCACTGCTGTGCCCTGAGCTCCAGAGCAGAAGTCTGAGGTCTCCTGAACCTGAGACTGGGCTCACAGAAGAGGAGTAGCGAGTGAATGGTAGATGTGCACCACTGCATAAAAGGAAGTTGAAAAGGAAGCATCAGAAGATCTCATTGATTTGATGGGACGTTCAACCGCCTATCTCCCCTGGCACAGAGTTGCCTTGTCAATCACTGGAGGTAGAAGTGGTTGAGGCTACTCCATTTCTAGGCCAACTGGACAGCCAGTGCCAGTGTCCTACCAGCTCAGTCAACACGCCTGTGTGTGTGTGTGTGTGTGTGTGTGTGTGTGTGTGTTTGTGGCGGCTGGGGAAAAGGGACAGTGGGTATGCCTTCCAAGTAGGGTGACCAGGGCCGCACGGTGGTTGGATGAGGAACTTCAGAAACAGACAGCTGCCAGGTAGCAGGTTAGTGACTCTTATAATGAAAGTAGCTTCCCCCCAAGATAGGACATGCCTTGTATTCAGCCCACATTTCCAGATACTGGTGTCCTTGAAACTTACCCTGCAGCATTGGGCACTTACACTTTGTTTTTTAAATTTTGCTGTTTTTTTCCCTTTAATTACTGCAAAACCAAAACCAATAGAAACTGTCTCTTCCTTTAGGGCAGGGAGAATGATCTCGTATTTATTTAAAAATCAAAATTTACATTCTGGGTTAACAGCTTTTTCACTTGTATTCCTAATTCTCCTTTCTTTTTTTCCTTTTTAAAAATTTTTTAAAATGCTTTTTATTTATTTCTGAGAGAGAGAGAGAAAGAGAGAGTGAGTGAGCAGGGGAGGGTCAGAGAGAGAGAGGGAGGTACAGAATCTGAAACAGGCTCCAGGCTCTGAGCTGTCAGCATAGAGCCCAACGCGGGGCTTGAACCCATGAACTGTGAGATCATGACCTGAGCCGAAGTCAGATGCTTAACCGACCAAGCCACCCAGGCACCCCAAATTCTCTTTTTCTAAAATCTTTCTTACAAGGGGAAAGTAAAGCACTGAGAGTTGAGGTCATGAAGAAGTCTGGAGTCCCTTGAATATCATCTTGTGCTATTACTGTCACAAAAATCCCCATGTTTTTTTGTGCTGTCCTGTTGGTCCAGTAAGACTCCCATTGGGACCACAAGAGGCGAACAGGAACTGGATATGGTCACCCAGAGCAAATGCATTTTGAAAACCACTTTCTGTTGTGTAGCACTGTCCTTTCTCACTGTCGGTTTACTTACAGTATTCCATTTTCCTGGACTTTAAGAAAATCTTCTATATTTGTTATTTGTATTAATGCCAATGCTGATAAAATGTAGACAAGTGTACAATGTCAACTAATCTACTGATTTTTCCCCCTTTGTTTTAGAAAATTGATTTTTTTGGAATGTCTTGCCCCACAGCTCTTCCCCCCTCCCCTCCACTGCAGGTCACTGCTGCCTGAGACAGCTGACAGGCTGACCTGCACAGGGGCCAAAGATCTTTGTGCCCGTAATAAATAGGCAAAGGGGCGCCTGGGTGGCTTAGTCGGTTAAGCGTCCGACTTTTGCTTAGGTCATGATCTCGCGGTTCGTGGGTTCGAGCCCCGCGTCGGGCTCTGTGCTGACTGCCAGCTCAGAGCCTGGAGCCTGTTTCAGAGTCTGTATCTCCCTCTCTCTCTGACCCTCCCCTGCTCACGCTGTCTCTCTCTCTCTCTCCTAGAAATAAATAAAAAATATTTTAAAAAAATAGGCAAAGAAAAAAATTGCACTCCATAGGGAGTTGAACACGCCAGGCAGAAGAAACAAAGAAGCAAAAAAGACATTTAATTTCTTTGTTTTTAAGACATTTAATTTCTTAAAAAAAGAGAAGTGTTAATGAGATACAAGTATAATGTAAAAAGACTTTTTTTTTGTCCTTTTTCTTTTCTCTTTTTAAAGTAGGGTCCACGCCCAATGTGGGTCTTGAACTCACAATCCTGAGATCAAGAGTCAGATGGTCTACTGACTGAGCCAGCCAGGTGCCCCTGAAAAGACTTTCTGCAGCCACAAAACATGATTTCTGAATTGAAAATTCAACAGAGAAATGGGAAAAGAGAACAGTCACTGTGAGATCTAATTTGTTTCCTGCACAAAATGTATTCATTCAATAACTAATTACTGAGCATGTCACGTGCCAGGCACTGCTCTGTACAAAATGGAAGAAAATGTAACACAAATACAGAGCAAAACCACAAGGAAATGGAAGCCATGGTGGGGATTAAAGAGGGCACTTGTTGGGATGAGCCCTGGGTGTTGTATGCAAGTGATGAATACTGCATACCTAAAATGAATATGACACTGTATGTAACTAACTGGAATTAAAATAAAAACTTAAAAAGAAAACACAAGAGCCATGAAAGGCAGACACAGAAGATTTAATATGCAGAACTAAGAAGTCCAAAAGGAGAGAAAGGAATATATGGAGAGGTAAAAATCAAGAAACAAGAGAAAAATTTTGAGTTGAAAAGACCTCAATTTTCTGAGTAAGTCCTAGGTAGAAAAAAAAAAGGGAAAAGGGCATGTATAGATATATACTCATTAAATGTTAAAATGTCAAAGAGAGAGAAGGCTGTGCAGGTAGGGGGAGAAAGAGAGGAGGGAGAGAGAGAGAGGGAGACAGAGAAAGTGGGGGGAGGGGCTGGAGAAGGGAGGTGGGAGGAAAGGAAGAGGAAATGAAAAAGAAAAGAGAAGGGGAGAGGGGAGGGAGGGAAGAGGAAGGGGAAGAGAGAGGCAGGGGAAGGGAGAGAGGGGAGGGAGGAGGAGGGGGAGGGAGGGAGGGAGAGGAGGAAGGAGGCACACAGAGACAAAACAACTTTCAGAGGACATGGAGTAAGTGGGAGCAGAGCTTGGAAACTGGCTTCAGAGCCCATGCACAAGCCAGCAGGCTGTGCCAGCATTCCCCGGGGAAGGAGGAAGGAGTGTGTTAGGTAGTAAGTGATACTGGGGCTGTTTGACTCCCACTTCACATCATGTATAAAAATGCATGGCAGGTGAATTAAAAGCCTAATGTTAAAAACTAAATTGTAAAGGTTAGACAAAAATATAGGTATATTTATGTAACACTGGGGTGGGGAGGACCTTCTTACGTAAAGCAGGAAACCCAAAGGTTGTAAAGGAAAACCAATACATATAGTTAAGAAAATAAAGAACTAAAATCTGTGACACAAGCAACAGTAGACAAATGACATATACCATACTTATAACGAAAAGGTGCTATCCTAACGCACAAAGAGCTCCTTTAGGTTAATAATAACAAGGACACATAAAAATAAAGTATATAAATAGGCAATTCAAAGAAGAGGCAATGCACAGAGGCTCAACTAGCTAGTGGTCAGGGGAATGCAGATTAAAACAACAATGGGGTCCAATTTAGGGGTTTTTCGACTGTCAAAAATATACAAGATTGACATGATCAGGTATGTCATATATATACATACACAACTGGAAAACTGCACCGAAAATTACTATAACATTGTGGGAAAGGGTTTTTGTTAGTATTTTTTTTTTTTTAATGAAACTGCTAATTTGACCCAGCAACAGGAGTTCTGGAAATTAATCTGAGAGCAATGAATCACCAGGACATTGTGCTTCTTGCCGTACCATTGGAAATGCCAAATACAAACACACAGACAGGAAACAAACAACAGCGGAATGGTTGAATTCACCACACAGTGAGAAATATGTGGCAATTTAAGAATGAGGAAATCAGAGAGATACGATTTCGGACACATCAGACCGACACCAATGAGAATGTCTCAAGATGCAAAGTGTGTCAAAGATGTAGGGAAACTGCAACCCTGAGAAGCAGGCGCTGGGGTGCACACTGGCAGAACCCCTTTGGAAACCATTGGCAATATCTAGAAAACTCATAATGTGGTCTATCCTGCAGGTCTACTTCTAGGAATATTCCCTGGAGAAGCTCTTCCATGAGAGCACCAGGACACAGGTGAGAAAGCTCACTCTGGTGTGGCTTGTGACAGCCAGAAATTAAAGAAGGTCCACATGTCCATCAGCTAGAGAGTGGGTGAGCCTGGCGGTTTGTTCATACAATGGTGTGCTACCCAGAAGCTAAGTGAACACTCGACACCTGTCTGTGCTAACTGGCTGCCCTTCAAAACAGAATGAAGAGTGAAACAAAGCAAGTCGCAAAATGATTAAATACTGTGGGTTACAAACCGCAACACTGTATGCAGCCCTGTGTGTGTGCGCACCAGCCAGGTGCACACAGTCACGGTGAGAACACATGGTGGTGCGTTATGACCCACGTGGGCTTCTCCACTTCCCTACCAGGTTGACTGAGGGATGAGGGCCAGCTGGGCCTGCAGCTTCCTGACAGATTAGAGACTATTCTTTACTTCCAAACTCTCATCTGGAAGCCTGAGAGCTCATGTGAAAGAGGAACTCCTAGATTATGCAGACGGTGCAAAGTTCAGTGTTTCCTGAACGGAAGCAGAGGAGGCGTCTGAAGAGGACAGATGAGTGGAAGGAGGAAGAAACAATGACGATTAGATCTAAGAAGGGGGGACAACTGTTTCACTGGAAAAGCCCTTGGCCCCATCTCCCTAGGCCCTGTCAAAGCCCTGCCCCTGTAAAACAAACACACCACTGAATCACTGCTCCCTTGTAAAAGGGTATTTTCCAAAGGGCACCACAGAGTACTTGTTCTGTGAGACGTTAAGAATTGTACATCCAATTCTCTTGGGAAACACTGAAAACAAAAATTAACCATAGTCCACTACCATAGAACTCCTCAGAATTCTCAGTGCTTATGTGCATTGGGAACCCCCAGAAAGAAGATGTGATAAACAGTTT